GCTCCTGGGCTAACGCTCCTGCCCTCATCCTTCACCGTGCTCGGACCCCACTCTCGACGCGTGCTGGTGACAGCGCAACAGGGACGACACCACCTCCTTCTGGTGGAGGAGGGCTGCCTGGGAGGTGCTGGGAGCTGTGGGCTGCATCCAGGGACATACAGCCGGGACCCCTTCCACGTGGTCCAGACCCACAGCTGAGCACAGTGACAGTGTGACAAGGACTCAGCAGTACCCGAGGGAAAAGAGGAGGAAAGAAGGGTCCCAGAGCCGTGAGAACAGGCGGAAGAGCCAGGTCTGGCTCCCCGCTGTGCAGGAGCCACAGATGGGCACCCGGGGAGTGTGAGCATGACGACACAGACGCCCCCCCCCCCCCCCCGTAGGGGGCAGTGCTCGGGAGGGCTGACTGCACGGAGGCCCAGGAGACATCCAGGAAGGGCTCTCCAGTGGGGTCAACATGGCAGCAACAACGGTGAGGGCTCTGCCCAGACTCAGCCCCTCACACAGAGGTTTCTCTTGGGAGTATTTTTAATCCCCCTTCTCGGGAATCAAGAGGAACCAGGGCCTCCGAAGAAAGCATCCTGAGAATGTGCCGGGCCCCAGTCGAGCATCCTCTAGCTGGACCGGCACTGAGGGGGCTGCTGGGTTCTTGCCCTCCGTGTGGCACTGAGGACTTCTGCTCAGGAGCAGGACTGTACATTTACGCAGTAGCTTTCATCTGGAAGGATCTCCAAGCTTTCACAGAATTTAACTCTGCCAGGGGGCTGTCTTACTCCCCGAAGAAACCCATTCACAAGGATGGAATCAAAACGTGCTGGGAGCTCAGCTCAGCCACACAGCCTCCTCTGTTCCGTGGGCCTCCCTTCCCCGGTGGGGACCATGCCGGGCATAATATGCACCTTGTGTGGTTCTAAAGTGAGCGGTGAGGGTGGTCAGTGTTCCCCACCCTACTTTCTCGGGCCCTCGACTGATTGAATCCCCAAAGACGACTGGGGCTGGCCTTTCCTTCTTGGGAGGCGCTGCTCCGAAGTGGGTCCCCCAGATGCAGGCCCCTCTGCAGGCTCCTCAGAGGCACGGCTGGGGGCTGGGGAGGGCCCCGGGCTGCAGAGCTTTCCCACAGGGCCCGGGGCCCCAATGGCCTGCTGGAGCGCGCTGCTCGGCGCCGCGTACCTGCTCCTGCGTTCCTGCCAAGATGCTCACATGTGTCTACTCCTGCTCGTAGCTATGGCAATCAAAACACGCAAAAGCAAGACTTTTTGCACAATATCACATGTTGCTTAATGTTTGGACACTGATATTTTCTCCAGCTGGGTTTTTCTTAATTTAGGTCAACAAACCAATCTGGAAGCAAACATGTTGCTCGTGTTTGGGAACCAAACCAAAGTGATGTGTAGCAGGAAGACTTAAGAAAAGCCTCAGGTGTGTGTGCCTGCTGGGGGATGACTCAGCCGCTGAGAGGCAAGGAACGAAATGGGACCAAGTCCCCGGCCCCTCTGCTTTGTCCCTCGCCCAGGAACGGTGCCTCTCAGGGAGAACCGCGCATGGACGAGAAGCCGCTCCAGCGGGATACCCGGCAGCCAGCAGAATAATTTCAGCCCCAGGAGCAGCAGATTCTCCCCTTCCTCCGCACCAGAGTTCAGGACAACGACCACCTGAAGCGCCTCCTCACGTCCTCAGACATGGGGCCACCTGCTCCGTTCGAGCACCCACAAACGAGCTCCACTCACCAGTAACCCAGGAAGGCGGCTCAAAACACGGTGTCGAGTGCGAGGCTCTTTGAAGGTGCCCTACAACACCGGCGCCGCATTTTCCATGATCAATCTTAACTAGTGTCTGTGCAGAACTTTTCTCTTGTGGCTCTTCTCGATGAAAAAACATGGAGAAAACTTTAAAGACTTGTTAATGACGTCCTTTCATCAGTCCGGGCGCCATCAGGCTGGGCTCTGCGTCCAGCCGCGCCACGCTGTCCAGGCCCTTGCCCTAGGCCTCACCCCCCACCCGCCCAGCACACACCCTATGGAGCCGACCGGCTGATGGAGGCCAGACACGCTCATCTGTCGGCAGCTGGAGCCACGGGGTCCAAGCTCTCTGCCCAGCTGCCCTCAGCCGCTTAGAGACACGTCGGGACCTGCAGTTTCTCCAGGCTCCGGGCCCGGCTTTCCACTGCCACCCCCTTTCTTCCAGACAGACAAACAGAAGGACAGACAGGGGCTGCATGGCAGAACTCCGTTTAAATCTCAACGTCTTTCAAACTGATAACAGGCAAAATTGATGTGGGCTTCAGCTTCCTAAACACGAACTCTCAATCAAATACTAGTGAACAAAAAAGAAAAAAAACATGCATGGGCTGAGGGAGGCCAAACAAAGCGAAATCCCCACCGAGGGCCCCCCACTGCCCTCTCTCCATGACCCCACTGCCGGGACGGCAGCAAGAAAACACACCCAAACAACGCACTCGGATTCCCCAACACATCACGGTGCTCGGACCACAGAGCAAGGCTCAGTTTCCTGGTCTTGTGGGGCAATCTTCTGAGTAAAATACTTTTTCCTGTGTGTCCCACATTAAGTCATTATCACTTCAGAGTCCTCCTATATGAGGCTTAAAACCGGAATCGCACTAAGATCTTTGGCAAGCTCTAAAGTGAACGATCTTCACGTTGATTCAGCTGTGACATCCTGCCTGCTCCCAGGGTGGCCGAGGCTTGAGCTGGCACTGCTGTCTGTGGTCTCAGCTGTGGGTGCCAGCCGCCTAGGTGGGGCACGCGGATGCTGAGCGGGAGGAGACATGGCCACCAGAGCCTGTCAGCCCCACCAGGGCCACCGCAGGGAGGACAAGTCCCCTGGAGACAGCACACAAACCCCACAGGGCTCCCGTGGGATTGAGCCACCATTTAGGTTTTTAAGCAACCTCTTTGTCAGGGTTTTATTCTCATATCACAATTTTAAAGGAAGTGAGTTCTGGGATAACGTGAGCTGTTGCTCACGAATGGGTTAAGAAACAAAAATGGTTTCAGTATAAACACACCTGCACTGGACAGGCCTGGCCACTCGAAAGAGGAGATTCTGGGTGAGCACACGGTGTGCAGGGAGACTTGGAAGAAAACGTGCACCCAAAAACGTTCGGGAAGAAAGGACTTCCCTCTCTGGCAAATGACTGAGACACACATGGGTTGTTCTGTAAATGCATCTGCTGGGTAGGAACTAGAAGTCCCAGGTAGGTTACCCGAAAGGTGAGCCTCCTTGCCTCCTGAATGCGCCCTGCCCGCACCCCTTGTATCTAGAACTGCAAGAAGCCAATCCCATACCTCCTCCGGAGCCTTCTGCCACGGCCCCCCCTTCCCCCCCACCCCCCCATCCAGCCCCTGCTCTTACAAGACACTGCGGTGTTTCTTCTTTGGGCGGACAGAAGGCAGACTGGTGCTGGTACTTGGTCCCTCGATGCAGCCACAGGATACGGAGGACGAGGGTGGGCTTCCCTGATGCTTCTGCTCCACGTGGGAAAAGGGACTGGAGAAGAACACAGCCACCCTTTGTAACCCTGGGCTCCTGCCTGGCCGAGGGCATCTGCATCATGGACGCATGGTTTTGCAAACACAAATACTGCCTCTGAATCTCTCATTATCTCGGTCTCTGGAAACGGGGGAGGACAGTGCACACCGGCCAAGCTGCTGTGCGGAGCCAGTGGTCCCGCGCGCGCGGGTCTCCGTGTCAGTGTTCAAAGCCCCCCGTGCTGCATGTTAGGGGAAACCAATCGGTGCGGGGGACCCGGGGCTGAGGCCGAAGAACACAGCTTTCTTGTCTCAACATTTCTTTTTATTTGGAAAATATTTTTGTATTTCTTTGTGCCTTTCCTTTTCCTCTTTATTTCCATGAATGGCGCTGCAACCCTGAGCAGCGGTGGCTCTAGGCGACCGGCACTGGCTTTTCATGTCGTCCTCTGCAGAGCTTGTCCTTGGAGTGGTACATGGCCGCGCTGGCTAGAGCCCGGCTGCTGCCTCTCTCAGTGGGAACCTCGGGGCATATATCAAGCCTGTTCTGACAGGGCCTAGGAAGTCCTGGCAAACAAACAGAGCGCAGTTGTGTACTACCCAAACAGGCGGTGCTGGGCCACGCGGAGCCACAGGGCCACCTCCCACTGCACGTGGCTGAGCCCCGCCGGGGGCTGGCCCCTTGCAGGCTGTGCGCGGGTGGCTGTCCCGCCCCGGGCCCTCCCTCGGAGCCCACCTGGGGATCTGGAGATGGCAGTGGGAGACACGTGGCATGTAAGGGACCTGTGCTTTCCCGGCCCAGGAGGTGGCCTGTGTGCCCAGCATGCGGATGGCACGGGATATGTGGAGCGTCACCAGGGTCTGCTAGCAGTGTTGATGGCACCTCATGCTCCCTGGGACCGTCAAAGAGCCGCTCGGAGAGCTCCACCCTGTCCCCACTCTCAAATCCATCCTTAGACAGACAGTGGTGGCTGGGGGTCTCCCAACCACAGCCCTAGAGCACTGCTATGGTGCCCTCTATTGGAAAGCACTCAGACGAAATCCACACCCAGGCCCACAAGGAGAACCTGCCTTTGAGAACCAGTTTTCTGTTCCGCTCAGGGCAGAGCAGAACGGCAGGGCGTGGTCATGTTTCTCGGTGACCGTCAGTTCCTGGAGAAAAGGGTTTTCCTTACGGGATTTACAACACAACCACCTCCTCAGCCCCCCAACGCAAAGTGTGCCCCAGATCCACACTCGTCTTCCCGACACGTCAGAAACCCAGGAACGAGCCCCTCTGCTCTCCCATGGAGACGCCAAGAGACCGTGCTTACAGTTCTCGAAGCTTGCTGATGGGCTCGATGTAGCAATGCGGCTCAGGGGTCTGTCCAGAAGTCAGACCTCTACACAGGTCACTGTGGGAGCAGAACGGCATGCTCCAAGGCAGAAGCACGGAGAAGGAGCGAAATCGGAAGATAACGCATTAATGGTCATAGCACTTTATTTTTGAGGGGGAAAATGCAGTTTTGTTGTGATAAAAGGACATATTAAACTGCAAACTGGTGAGAAAAGCTAGAAGTCAGTTTACGTTAGATACTTGTTCTTTTATAGGTGTTAACATGAAATACAAAACACACCCAAACTGTGCCCATCACAGGCTGTATGTCTGCCCCGGCGTTCAGCGACATGTACAAACCACCTAAGTTCCGCGGCTGTGGTTTCCATTGTCACAGGAACCCCTGGCAAAAACAGCTTTCTACTGCACAGCGGGGTGCGGTTTATTTTCTCCACAGATCGTAGGCTCTATTTTATTTATCCGCATGCATAGCTACGAGTTCCCCTTGTAGCTTTTCAGATAGAGTTAATTATAAAGCTAACATGACAACAGGATAATGAAGTGTCAGACCGACGTCTGTGGTGGATGCTGGAAATACTCTGGACTGCCCCCGGGGAAAGGAGCTGACCCACCTTCTTGTGTGACCTCTGACTTCCAGGCTCGGTCTTGGGGTGCCGGGGAGGAGAGGTCGGCAAGCCTCGTCACCTTCTGTTCCGGGCACACGAAGGTCAACGGTGTCGGGAGAGAGCCGGGGCCTGAGGCAGGACCCCCATAAAGGAGCCACTGCGACCAAACCCACCTCAAAGAGCTATTTGTTTTCCCAACTCGCTCTGGCGGGTGGTTCTTTTCTATTCGGCAGACGCAACGCAAAATGGACGCTTCCTGCACTAGCTTTTCTGGCGGTAAGAAAAGCAAAGCTGGAAAACCTCCGTGAGCACCATTTCCAGGTGGCCCCTCGCCTTCAGGGAAGGTGTGAGTGGAAAACACTGGCCGGCAGCCTCAAGGGCTGAGAGGACGGGGAGCCGGGGTGCGGGCCGGGGCGCCAGCTTCTCAGGGACACACGCGGCCGCGGACTGTGACAGGCCTGTGCGGGGGCCGGGGCGTGGTGCGCCTGCCTTTCGGGACAGTCGCTGCCCTGGCCCGAGAGACGCTGGAGACAGATGAGCAGGGTGAGGATACTAACTGTACGAACAAGGGCCGGTCTCCCGAACTCGCTCTGCTGAGAAATGTAAAAACGAGAGAGAACACACGCACCACATCCCTTAGGACACGTCCAGCTCTTTTAATACAGCGGTGCCACCACATCGCCACTTCCAGCCTCACTCACACGCTGACTCCTGCACGTACGCAATCCCGGCCAGCCGGCTGGGGGCCGCCCCGCGCCCTGCGCCCAGTTGCAGCCGGACGGGCCCCTCCCCGGGAGAGGTTGGCTTTCCCGGCAGGCGGCCTTCATGGGCCAGCAGCCACTCCTTCGTGGCCAGTCCTCCAGAGTAGTTGCCCACGGCTCCGCTGCTGCAGACCACTCGGTGGCACGGGATGAGGATGGGCACCTGGAAAACAGTGAGCCAGCCGCCATCAGTCAGGGCGCCGGGCCAGCGAGGTCTCTTGGCATCATGAGCAAGGCCCCTGACCACCACTGACCTAGAGGGGCTCAGCCACGTGTAGGCCCCCAGTTGGCCGTCCCAGCCCTGCACATCCCTTGGTCTCTGAGGGTCTCGGTCTGGCCCAAGGAGTGACACAATGCGCCAAGGAAATGTACGGCATATTCCAGAGAATCCCCTTATACCAGGATCTGGGAGAAAACTGCCTTTGGTAAGAAATTGATAATGGATGCTTACCAAGTTCAAAATTACATTTCCAAGTTATGGGATGGGATGCAAAATTGTCAAACATCTCGAGAAGTGACAGGAACCTCAGGGAAGACCGCACTCAAACAAGGCATTGGCAAACGGGCTGCCGGCTGCTACGGTCCCCATGTTTTTGTAAATAAAGTTTTGTTGGAACACAGCCACATTATCTGTGGCTGCTTTGAGAGTCTAAACTATTTACCATCAGGCCCTTTATGGGAAAGGTTTGCTGACCCTGCTTCATGGGATGTCAGTCCCGGGATACCTCCTGGCAAGTCTGAGAAGCTCCTGTCCTCACCTGTTCTCACCTGAGTGGCCACTGCTGCGGCCACCCCACCTCTGGATACCACTCACCCCCCACAATCCCTCAGGACTCCAGACCCAGGGCCACCCTCGCCCTCACCGCTCCACCCACCTCAAATAGCCTCTCATCTCTGGAGATAAATCAGGTGGTTAGGTGCTCGCCTTGGCCAACAGAATGCCTTCACTAAAAGCAAGGTCACCTTACAAAGAAAACAAACCCAAACACAATCCTACAAAGAGAAGCCAACTGATGGTTAAAAGAACCTACTGCTGGGACCAGGGGCAGCCGTGCGTCACCAGGAAAGAGATGCAGGCGGGGCCCTGTGCACCTCAGGCCTCCACCAAACCCCACCAATCCAACTTGCTGGCAGCTCAGCAAGTTGCTGTCCAGGGGAAGCACGGGCCGGCCCGAAGCCCCAAAGGGGGAGGGCCCAAACTGCAGGCAGGTCTCCTTAGCGGACACTGAATGCCCCAAGGACAATAGGACCCTCCCCCAGTGCCCAGCAAGTTATTCTGCCCTTGCCTGGAGCCGCCACAGTGCAGACCTGTGGGTGTCTCATACTCCACATCTAAGACTGGATGCCCGGGCTTGCAGGTGCTGGATTCCAGTGGGGGTCATGGTCACATGGGTGGGACATGATTCCCACAGCCACACACAGGCCAACAATCCCACCTAACACACTCCTGGGAGCCAAGCCTGCCAGGGGAGGAGACCTCTGTTCTCTCCAGAAGTGGGAGGCTCCTTTTCAGCAGCGGCCCCCAGGGGAATGCCTCGGTCCTCCTCCCATGGCCTGGGCTCTACAGACAGGCTCTCCAAGGATACCCATTGGCAGACCCGCTCAGTGTCTGTTCTCAGGATGGAGTCCACTGTGGAGAGCGGGCACCGTGAGCCTTGCCCTTGCTTTTGATTTCCGCATGGCAGGACACCTACTGTCAGGAGGGACATGCCTGGCCTTGTCCACCCCCCATGGGGAGGAAGACGCACTGATCAGCCATCCTGGGAGGAAGAGATGAGAATGTCCAGCTAGGCACCCTGTGAGGTCCTGCAGGGGGGACCTGTCTGCCCCACAGCACAGATGTAGTCAGCAGGCTGGTACCAGCACAGGGGGGTCTAATTCCAGGCCAATGCCTGGGAAGCCCACCAGGGCCATATTACCTCTAGTTTAGCCTTTCTCCTACTAAAGCTAATGCCCGGATGTCCTTTAGCCATTTCTTACCTGGCCCAGAACACGGGAGGAAAGGAGAGGGATGAAAGGTACAGAGGGAACAAGTATGTCTCAGGTGGCGGGGCTCCCTCCGCGGGCAGCACCGCACAGCAGGGACGGCCCCGCGCCTGGGCCACCAAGCAGAAGGGTGCACGTGCTGTTCCCACTGCAGGGGCTCTGGCAGATGAATGGTCATTTTGCTTAAAGATCCCAACAAGCAGTTACTTGGAACCTGAGGCACTTCCCGAGGATGGAAGGTACAGCGGGTTCTCAGCAGAGTTCAAGCCTCTGAGGAAAGGGTCTGCCCAGGAGTCCCGGGGAAATCAGCCTTCATTCCTAAGTGGCTCCATCTTGACTGGGCTGAAGGAGCACAGGGGGTCAGTCACTGAAGGCTCAGCATCATGCAGAGCCCAGCTCCACAAGAACGGAACGGCCAGTGAGCACAACTGCAGGAGCAGGCCCAGCTCCGGAGACTGAGCTGGGGCAGGAAGAAGGGCACAGCTGCTCAGCAGACCCCACCCTGGGAAACAGCACTTACCAGGGACTACTTGTTGCCCGGCCCCCGTCCTGCCCCTCTGGGTGCACTCACATAAGGCTGCCGTGCCCCCAGGGTCCTGTGAAGAAAACGGCCACTCCTGCAGGGGCTCAGAGGCGAGGGCTTCTCGGTCTCCCTCGACTGGGTCCGCAGCTCAACAGAAAGAAGATCTGCATCACCTACCCCCAAGACTCACCAAAGACACGCTGTTTTCGTTACTAGAAACGGGGAACACAGCTTCTGTTTGTGTTAATTTTGTGGCAGATTCAGACTACTAAAATAACGAAAGCTGCCAAAATTTATTGGAGCCCTAAGGACATTTCAAAGGATCCGTACCCTCTTATACCCTCTCCTTTAATGCCCCATGCTGCATAAAATGTAATTTTTATCAATAACCAAGCAGCTCATAATATCACAGCTGCATTGAAATCTTCATGCTGTGAAATCTAATTCATCCAATACGTGAATCCATCACTTACACAGACCCTTTCTCAAATGCTATAAAACTTCCAAACCCATAGATTTGTCTCCAACAAAAATAACACGAAGGGGCCTTTCAATCAATAACGGAATCCCTCTGATTCTGGAGCTGGCTGAATATTTTTTTCCAACTTCGCCTTTGTTCTTGTGGTAGTAGCCCACAAGGGAAAGAGCTTGTTTTCACTCGCGGCCTCATCAATACCTAAATCCTGGTGAGCAAGTGACACGGAGAAGCTGTAATCAATAGTTCCCTGTGCGTTTTTTTCTTCTGGTCAAATGGTTCAGCCCCACTGACAGCCCTGACACTTAGAACATGATGCTAAATCTTTATCAACAGCCATCTGGGTGACTGGCAGAACAAGACTCGGGGGGTCATTAACGCTCATGGCAATCTGTGAATAAACTAACTCCTCAGGAATGCGTTTGTTTAGAAAAAAAGTGGGGAAACTCTCTGTGCAATGTATCGATTGCCTTTGAACTGCATTTAGCACATTCCGTCTGAGGAGGAGGGAAGGGTGCTTTTGTGGGGGGCGCCCATGAGGCATCTTCCTTCTGATCTACCAGGAAACGGACCCTCCTCCGTGGTGGGTGGGAGCGCACACCTTCCGGAAGGCTGCCCAACTGGCTCACCTGGGCGCTATAGCTAGTTCTTTGTGGAAAAGTTGGAAAAATCATGTGCTGAGGACGGGACCAGACCCCCACACAGCGACAGCCAACCCTTCCTCTGGTGGGGAAGAGAACCCCATGCCCACGGCAAATGCTGTAATGCGAAGCAGCACGTGCTCGTGTTCATTGCAAGCCACCTAAGGAATTAATGCACAACCAGCTTCGTGGTGCTTTGCCACATTCCAAACTCATTTTTCACTCTCCTTCCTGAAATGCACAATTGCTCTATTCAGCCCGAACAGAGAGAGATTATCCACGAGTGCGTCTCCACGATGCTTGGTCGGCGCTGGAGCGCGGCGGTGGGCTGTGCGGCCGAGCCTCCTGTTGCCAGCACCAAGGAAAGGGGGCACCCATGTGGGACGGCCACGTCAGTTGTGTTCCAGGCCCTGGCCAGGGCCCCTTTCTCCCCCAGATTCCTGGGTTGCCTCTTGGATGCTCCGTGGTCCATACCAAGGAGGTGTTGAATCAACTTTAAGGGAGCCCTTGGGGGCCTGCGGGGCTCCCTGGGAGGCCGAGCTGAAGCTCGGGAGGCACCTGCAGCTACCAGGGCCTCTGCCACCACCTCAGGCCGGGGGTCCGGACAAGTCCTGTGCAGCGCCCAGCGACAGAGACCCCCGGACGGGCCCCAAGGGCTCGCCTCCAGCCTGGTGGCTGTGGGCACAGGAGGGCGCCGGGAAGCGGGGCCGGGAGCCTGCCTGGTCCTCCCGCCTGGTGTCCTCACAGCCCTTCTCCACTTGGGCACGAGACAGGGACGTCAATATGTGGACTTTACGGACATTAGAGTTTTAAGCCCTGTGAGATCCGATTTTATAAATTTCCGTGACTGGGGCCATATTTGAACAGAGACATTCATAGAGATTAATAGCAGGAGGAGAGAGTCGTGCTGGTTGCCGAACAATAAATGCTTCTGAATATTGCCACGAGCGTGATCGCTGAACAGTGACGGCGTCTCCGCAGCAGAGAGTGAGGAACTGCTGTCAGCATGCGAGGCAGGGGACGGGCCACCGCCGTCCGTGCGCCCCCGGCAGCGCATGTTTGCAGAGTGCCAGACAGGAGGAAGGTGTGCACCCGTGGGGGGCAGGGGGCACCGGCGGGACCCGAATCTCACCTCCGGGAGCGAACAGAGTGACCCACTCTCCACAAAGGGCATGAGGAGTAGACACTTGGCCTGAAGGAGGGACGAAGATCTGGGACCGAGGGAGAATTTGCCCCAGACATGGCGATTGCGGGACGCAGATGGCCAGGCCGAACCCCGTCAGCCACGAGCGTGCTTCTCACAGGCGTGACATGCAGCCACGTCCCGCAGCGTCCCAGCTTTCATTCTATCAGGCGAAGGTGCTCAACACCTGGGAGAAGATGGGGGCCCTCCCAAGGAACGCAGCGGTTCACACCTCAGCGGGAAACGTAAAAAAATCACTCTAGAATCTGATTCAGAATCACGCCGTATGCACGGCAAGCCCTGTGCCCTTAGTGTGTGGAGGGGACTACTTGGAGGACATGGCGGGCCACACTGTGCTGAAAACACAACCACTGCGAAACAGAACAGTGGCCGGGCTCACGAGCCACCGTCACCTAGGACTCGGGGCGCAGAGAGGCATGGGGTGGGCAGGACCGGTTGTCCGCATCACACACTGCTCCCGACCATCTGGGATATCGATACGGCAGAGAACTCTCCAGATTAGACAGATAAGACAGTGCGATCCACTACGAACCTGCCGGGGTCGCTTCTTAGACAAAAACAAGGCAGTCTTGTAAACGCTGGGGCTCTGCCCTCAGGCAGCTGGGACCAAGCAGCGTCTGGCCAGGGGGCACGATCGCTGCCTCTCCCCAGTGAACAGGGATGAAAACATACAGCAAAGCTACAGCAATTTTCAAAAAAGTGAGGTCTATCTGATCTAGTAATTTCCTATCCCAGGATGTGATGGTCCTATTTCCTCCTCCTGACAGGATGGCAGGCTTCTATCACATCAGAGACTCTCCCACGGCTCCAGGGGAAATTGTTACTGAGGCTCTATCAGGCCCCGGCTGGGCACTGGCGGGCCTAACGACAAAAGGAATATTCTGGGTCTCACTCGGTTGTGCAGGGTCCCCCAGTGAACCTGGCTGCTCTGTGGACGGGGGCACCATGCCATGGCCTCTTCCCCCACTCACGTGGACGTGCTTTCTGAGAAAGGACGGCCTGCCGTCCAGGCGTAGGTGTGTCCTCTGTCCTCCTGGGGACAACAGGCGTGCGGCCACCCCACACAGGCCCATCCTCTGGAGAGTCAGGCTTTGCCTTGAGTGAATCTCCCTTTCAGCAAAATCCGACCACAGATGCACAGGAGGAACGAGGACACAAAAGGGCTTGGAGATCGGGCCACCCCCGGGGGAAGACATGCCCAAATGTGGTGAATCACCCCTGTTCCCAAGGTGCAGGCCCTGGTGTCAGACCTCCAGCCTCCCTAAGGGTCAGGCACCCCGGGATGTGTCTTCTAGAGCGACGCTCCACATCGTCAGCCTGTCTGTTTTGTTTCCGGCTGCAGGCCTGGCCCCTAGACGAGCGTCTGGCACCTGCGAGGCAGCCCACACACCCAGTTACTGGACGAATGAACATCCACTCGACACTTCCTCCAGGCTTTGTCCTCCTTGGTACTGCCTCCGACAAGGGGCTCCTGTGGTTCCAACATGCGTGGCGGGGGGGTGCTTTTGTGCGAAAACTTCCTGATCACCCTCACCAAAGATGGGGGGCAGGGGCACAGACCTACTAGTGCCCCCATGCCTCTTTGGTTGGGGGGGCCATCACAAGCCCTTCCTCTCCTCCCCACCCAGCGTGGCTCTGGCTGCCTGGGGGACAAGCTCACCTCACGCGGCCCCTGAACGCAGGGCCAAGGCCCACCCACCGCTGTGGCCAAGCTGACATCATGCTGACGGCAACTTACGGGATTGCTCCTCATCGCTCCACCCACTGCCCGCGCTGCTCTGGGGTTGCCTGCCAGGGCTGCGAGTTGCTGGTAAGAAACCGTGTCTCCAAATTTCACAGCCTCCAGCAGCTTCCACAACACCTGTGCGGTGAATGAATCTGAAAGGCAGAACACAGAAGGACGTTATGTGGACAAAGGGCTCCCACAGGTCTGATGTAAAGAGCTGCCAGTCCCGAAACAGAAAACACACCACATAAACAGAGGTGTTACCCTCGATTAAAGCACGGCCTTCACGCACGGTCCCATCGGCACGTCCCTGGCACCGCGCGGGCTGGCCCCTTAGCAGGCACCCCACAGCTGTGCACCCAGACCTGCAACTTCCTCCCATCTTCCCCCGGTTCCATGCGGGATCATGCGATGCTCTCTCTTCCAGGACCTGTGTGGGCCAATTCATAAGCAGCTCAATTACTAAGCACGGAAGGCCCTGCCTGCCTACTGACTTCAGAACCTTTTACGCCACTGGTTAATGTCCAACTTCAGCTGGGACACAGAAGGGACAAGAAGCCCCGGGTGGGGCTCTGACTCTATGCCAGCTGCCCACATCCAGCAGCGATCAGGCTCAGAATGCCAAACACCACGGTTCACGGGGCTGGCGGTGACCTTGGCTACAGGCATCTGTAATGAACAGGGCAGCAAAAATAAAATAACTTTATTCCCATTTTAATTGACTAACCACATCAAATTGCATTTGCTCTTCATCCCGCTGCAAGAATGAACAGGTGAATGCACGAGGACGTTCTCTCCCTCAGCCTCCAGGTCTTAGAGCAGCTTCCCAGGCTGTGAAGGAGGCTGGTGTGGATCGATACCTATTGTCTTTCCAACGGGAACACAGGGTCCAGGAGCACTGGACAGGGAGCGGCATCCCCCACGGTGGGGGCACCTGAGCTCTCGGGGGGCGGGAGTTCTCGGTGGCGACAACAAAGGGAAGGCTTCCACGAGCAGTGGCGGTTGCCGGAGTGCGTCCGTAATGGCACTAATTACACTCGGTGCCAAGCCGGCAAAGTGCGATTTTGTTCTTAAAGGAAACACACCCTTACATGCGTGTTAAATAATAAAAATCACTTCTTAACTGAACGGAATGATAATCACTTCACTGGAAAAAAAAAATCTGTTTAGTCTTTATTATAACATTAAGCAAATTAAACATCAGCATAATCCAGGTGATACTAGAACAGGGTCATCAAAGAAATTAACTTTGTTGTTCATTAATTTACATGGATTAGTAGAGGGCAAAAAGATAGCAAATGTGCTCTAGTTTTTTATGATATAATTTCAAACTGTACACCATTTGTGGCAGGAGGGTGACTTTGGGGTTAATCAGACTGATTTGTCCTTTTAATTGCTTTCTATTCAAAGAAAATTCATTAGATAATGTTCTCTTCAAAATTCATGAATCAATTTAACTGAAGAAACCACATTAACAGCTTTGGGTTCATTAGCACATGCAGTTGTGTTACTGGCTGATGGCTTGGAGGGTTTCCTTAGGCAAACACGCTGTTTATCGTGATTTCTTCAGAACAGGTTTTTGAAATCAAACTGTTCATCATTATCATTGTTGCTGTTGTTATGCCTTACTTAAAAACAAACAAACACACACACACACACACACACACACACACACACACACACACACACAAAACAAAAAGAAGAAAAAAAGAGAAGGCTGGCCAGAGGCCTGGTGATGACGTGGGGAGGAAGCGATTTTGGGGCGACGTTCTTAGACAAGCAGGCGGGAAGGAGACCATGCCCGAGGCAGAGGCCCGTTGCCTGCCTTCCTGGGAGAGCGCGAAGTCGTGGTGTTTGTTCTCTGGGATGCTGCCAGGATTTCCGGAGAAGAGCCTGGAACTTTACCAGACCTGGAGCACTAGGGTGAGGTGTCTGCGCGAGCTTCCCCGAGGCACAGACGCTCCCGTGCCAGCCCCGACCTGCACCGGGAGCCTGGGCCACGCCACCAGCGCCTCCCTTCCCAGGCATCAACGTGTCGTATAATAAAACATTCGTGTGTCTGTATATGAGCACAGAGTTTATCAAACATTTGCAGCTTCACTGTCAATTTTTCATGGGAAATAATTTCTCACCTTGTACATACCGTGCAACATATTAGGAAACATAGCTTGAAGAACGCAATATTTAGCAATCAAGCACATCGTTTTATAAATGTATCTGAAAACTCAATTTTACCCTGTAGGGAGCAAATGCATTAATTAGTTTGAGCAGCTCTCAGCGACAGTGCCTTTAACCCTAACCTGTGCAAAACCAGAGGATGAAACTGCTCTCCTTTTGAGGAGGGACTGGTACTTTCAGTTGTTAAAGATCATTCTAAAACGTAGCAAAACCTGCTCATAAAAATTAACATACATGGATGTGGAAAATAGATTTCCCGGAGGTTGAGGTGTCCACATAAGTCTGTAGCGCTGGACCAGCATTTCAGATGGCCCAAAGGGCAGCCATCAGATGATGAGGCTTCTCTCTCCCATTTACGGCCCTCCCCAGGGAGTGACCCCAGAGCCGTGTGGAGCGGCCTCTGCCCGCCACATTCACCCTCTCCTCCTCCTCCCCACCCTTTCTCCTGCCTCTCCTGGCTTCCCAGGATGGCCAGCTGGGCCGTGTCATGTGGTGGGGCCAAGGTTGGCCCTGCTGGAGGCCGACTGGCTGCTCAGAGCTCCCTTACCTTAAGGACATAGCCATTTTCATTTCCGTGTGGGTGGCCACTTGCACATGTCCACCACGAACACCCAACCCGACCAAGACTGCTTTCTACATCCTCTCTAGGTGGACGGTAGTTCATCAGCCTCCCAGGGGCTGATGAGGTGGTTTTCCAACACTGGCCATGGAGGACGTCATTCTATGTTGTGGACACTGGGGTTTTATGTGAGCTCTTCTCACGCCACTTGTGGGAGTCGAGATCGGGGAGCCTTCTCTGGTGCACCCGGACTGACTCAGCCAAGTGTGGCTCTGATAAGGGCGCCTAGGCAGATACCAACTCCACACTGTGGCTGGGAGGGACTGACCAGGGGCCAGGGTCTTTCTTCCCCTGGGCCCCTGCATCCTCCGCGGTGACAAACACCGTCGTGAGAGCTCCAGGGACAGACATGTCCCGCACCCCACGGCATACTGCCAAGCTTGAGCACGGCTGGTCAGCGGCAGGGCTGGGCCCAGAGACCAGTTCTCTTTAAAACCAAGGCTGAGACTCAGCCACCTCTTCTCCAGTGAGGGAGAGCACCACGCTTTCGAATTCTTGGGGGCCGAATCATTCTTTCAAGGTGACCTTTGTTGTAGGGTGCAGTTTCTGCCAGAGGGCCGTCTTCCAGCTGCCCCGGGGCTTTGGAGCTTTTCACCACCGGGCTACAGCTAGGTGGCACACACGGGTGCACATGCACAGGTGTGCCTGGCACCCACACAAGGCTGGCTGCCCACCCTGGGCCCTGCCAGCAGAATGTCGCAGTAGCTCTCTTTGGCCTGGGCAGGGCACTGCCTGTTGCAAGGGGCTGTGAAATCGATTTGCCATGTCTCTGTGGGCAGAGAGCAGAGCCCAAGCTCCTGCAAGATTCCCTTGCCATGGCATCCAATGACCTGGTACCCGCGGCACAAACTGTAAGTATCTGATAGGTTTTCAAGTTTCCAAGGGCTTTTCACTTCCAGGACGTGCTTTCTGCTGCCTCTGGCATAGAGGGAGTGCCCACACTGGCCCCTAGAGTGCCAGATAACTGGGGGGTGTGAAGCCAGTTCTCTGACCCAGGGGATTTAGACGAGAGTTTTGATAAGATGCATCCTGAAGCACAAACAGAGCTGACATGACCTGATGCTGCCTGACCATTCGCGAAGCCAGGACCGACAGTCCAGGAATGCGCCTGGGAGGAAGCACAGGGAGATGAAAGGGAACAGGGAGCATGTCCACCCGGTTTTCTGTGGGTGGCCTTTCCAGAATCTGGGGAGAATGCAGAGGGCTGTGGAAAGTAAACAGGAGCAGGAAGACTGGGGAAGAAGACAGGAGTCTGAGGAAACACTGAAGTGACGCACAAGTGTACCATCCCACCTGTGCTCTCCCCAGCCCAGACTTCCTGCGGCCTGAACCCCGAAGGAGCCGCCGGAGCTCTCATCCACCCTGAGGAGGGAGAAGGGTGTCCCGATGCTCAGAGTGGAGGAATCGCCCACTTTCTGGTGGTGGAACTCTGGCACCACAGCCCCCAAGCAATCCTGAGGCTTACGGTCCTTTCTGCTGGGAGGAGCTGGGGCCCCACAGGTGGGCAGGCCCCTACTGCTTTTCTCCTTTGTCTTCTCAGTGCTCGGCTCCATATGGAGGTGCAGTCCCAGGAAGTGTGTCAAATCACGACCGGGGACCAAACAGGATCTCTGAGAGCAAGAAAATAGCAGGGAGACTGTGGACAGGGAGAAGCTTAGGAAAGCACACTGATAAGTTGTTTGTAAATCCCTGGCCTCAGCCCTGACCTGTGCACGTGTGGATCTGACCCTGAACCAAAGACTTGGAGAACTGAGGGAAGGGTCCAGACTGGCCACTGACGGACTCACAGGCCAGCAGACTTAAAAAGGACATGGACATGGAAACCACAACCTGCAGAAGCCTGGTCAGAACTCAGGAGCCAAATCCACACTCCAGGCTGAGTGCCTCCTCAGCAAAAGTAGCAGTGGTCTACACTGGACTCCCACGAGACTCAGCCCATGATAGTCAAAGTGATCAGGGTACAATCCAAAATGACTTCGCAAACAGAGCAAACAAAGAATCAGAAAAACCTCCACTCGTCTTAGGAAAGATAATCAACAAACATCAAGGCCGAGATGACACAGGAGTTAGAACCACCTGACAACATTTTCTCCCTGGTGTTTTGAGGATTAACTGACAAATACAATTGTAAGATATTGAAAGTGCACGATGTGATAATTTCACATACATTGTCTGATAAGGTTAAAGGATCTATAGTAAAAATGCTGCAAGAAGGGAAAATACCCTTGAAACAAATGAGAAGATGCAAAGTTTCAAAGAAATACAAGTTAAGAATCAAATGGAAATTTAGTTCAGAAAAACAAGAAATGAAAAACTGCACGGTCTCAACAGCAGAATGGAGATGCCAGAGGAAAG